ATGTTATTCAAAGTGGCCCTCGGGTTCAAAAAGGAAGGGGAAGGCGACAAGTTCGAAAGCAGCTGAGGTATTGATTGAGGGGGATTTTGAGTCCCATAACGAAATCAAGCCCTGTAGATCTAAGGGGAAGGCGTCTTTGGAGGCAGCTGCCGGTGAACAGGTAGACTCGGAGACCTCTCTCTCTGAGGGAGAGGGTCAACAGTATGAAATTAAGAAGCGCCTACCCCTCGAGACTCCAGAACAGCAAGGCCAAATGGGTCAAGTGAAGCAAGTGGTAGCTGCTTTTGAGGCCAACTTGGCTATCAATGAGGAGAAGGATCCCTTGGCCTCTGGTGAAGGAGAAATGATTAGGAAACTAAACGAATATGGTTCCAATATGGTGGATGAAAGCAGGAAGCGCGCTCTGGATGAGGTGGATGGGGAGGTTGGGGAGTCACCCACTCCCAAAAAACAATTTGTGGAAGAGGAAGCAGAAACTGTTATGGTGGAGGAAGCCAGCCATGAGTGGCCCCAAGCAGATAAATGAGGATTTTGGGTTGGAATGTGAGAGGAATTGGACCATCCCTCACTTTCCAAACAGCAGTAGGGTTAGTGCGGTCGAATAAACCGGACCTTGTCTTCTTTTCAGAAACAAGATCGTGCCGGAGAGTAGTGTCCCGTCGAATGCGGGGGTTAGGGTTTGAGTCAAGTCATTGTTTCTTTGTTGATGCTGTTGATGGTTCTGGTGGTCTAGTAGTAGCTTGGTCCCCTGGAGTTGAGGCTTCAGTGTTTTTTCATTCTAATTTTTGCATTTGTACTCGTATTAATGAGAATGGGTTTTCCTATGTTGCTGTCTGCGTATACTTGAGCTGCAATATTGCGAGACGAGCCATTCAATTGACCCAGTTGCGTGAGATTTGTGAAGGCCTTGTTATTCCCTTTGTGATTCTAGGTGATTTCAACGCTACCCTTTGTGATAATGAAAAGGATGGAGGGAATCCATGGAATGCTAATCAATCCTTGGATCTCAGAAACCTTATTAATCTGATAGGGTTGCATGATCCTGGTTTTCAGGGGGACCCTTACACGTGGACGAATAAAAGAATGGGTTCAGCCTGTATTCGTGCGAGACTTGATAGGGCCCTCTGCTCGCAAGGTTGGATGGATCGTTATCCAGAGACACTTGTCAAGCACTTCACGGATCAGGGTTCGGATCATAGAGCTCTGCTCCTCTCGGACAAGCCCTATACCCGAAGCTGTCGCCCTCTTTTTCGCTTCGATGCTCGGTGGGCAACGAATCCGGAGGTCAAGGCTATGGTCGATTACGTCTGGCAGGAGAATATACCTGGTACCCCAATGTTCCAGCTATGGGAAAAGCTGAAAAAGTTACGCCATTTGCTATATGATTGGAGTAGAGCGGGAACCACCAATTCTCTGCGAAACATTCATACCTTGCAAGGTGAAATTGATCGGCTGAAAAATGTTCACCCTATTGACTGGGAAGAGGTGACCAGGTTGGAAACTGAATTGAATAGGCAATGGGAGGCTGAGGAAATTTATTGGCAGCAAAAGTCCCGTGTGACTTGGCTTAAGAAGGGAGATAAAAAACTCGGCTTATTTTCATACGGTCACTAGGGCTCGGCGGAAGCGGAATTTTGTGGCTGGTCTTTTCAATGAGGAGGGTGATTGGGTCACAGAGGAGAAAGGGAAAGCTGAGCTTGCCACCGATTTTTACCGGTCGCTATTCACAACTGAAAGCCTGATTGTGGATATGCATGAGAGAGTGGCTGCTCTCCCTATTGACCCGTGTGTTACTCCGGATATGAATGCGTCCCTGACTGCTGCAGTCCTCCCTACTGAAATACGGGAAACGGTATTCTCAATGGGGTCCAAACAGGCGCCCGGTTCGGATGGGTTTACTGGGAAGTTCTTCAAAGCTTTTTGGGGGATAGTCGGGGATTCAGTTATCCAGGCAGTGAGTTCGTTTTTTGAAACTGGTAGAATGCTTCGGAGCTTTAATCATACGTGGTTGACATTGATTCCTAAGGTGGATCAAGTTGAATCAATGAGGCAATTACGTCCTATTAGCCTCTGCCAGTTTGTGTATAAGGTGATTACTAAAATCATGGCAGGAAGGCTTGCTGATATTCTGCCACAGATTATTTCCGATGGCCAGAATGCTTTTATTCGAGAGAGGCAGATTGTGGATAATATCCTCCTAGGTCACGAGTTAATGCATTACCTGAAAATCAAAACCCGAGGGAAGAAGGGGTATATGGCTCTTAAGGTTGACATGGAAAAGGCCTATGATAGAGTTGAATGGCCCTTTCTCTTAGGGGTTTTGGAAAAAATGGGGTTTAACTCGACCTGGAGAGGATGGGTTCAGGAGTGCCTCCAATCTACTTCATTTTCGGTCTTAATGAATGGGACCCCAGCTGGGTTTTTTTCCTCTACCCGAGGGCTCAGACAGGGTGATCCGCTTTCTCCCCTCCTTTTTGTAATCTGTACGGAAGGGTTCGCGGCTCTCCTTCGTCAAGCCATCGCAGAAGGAAAACTACAAGGGGTCAAGGTGGCCCCCCGTGCGCCTCGTATCTCTCATCTGTTTTTTGCCGATGATTCTTATCTATTTCTAAGAGGTTCCCTCCAAGAATGTGAGAATTTGATCGAGGTTCTAAATGAGTACGAGGAGCTGAGTGGTCAGAAAGTGAATCTGGAGAAATCGGCTGTTTGCTTCAGTAAAAACATTGCAACGGCGGATCAGGAGTTCCTGGGGGAAATATTAGGAGTAGGGGCTGTGGGGGTCCACGACAAGTATTTGGGTCTCCCCTCCCTGATCGCCAGGTCTAAAATGGCGACTTTCCGCTACCTTGAGGAGAAACTGCTGGCGAGATTACAGGGATGGAAGAGACGGACTCTGTCATGGGCTGCGAAGGAAACCTTGATTAAATCGGTTGCTTTGGCCTTGCCTCTACATGTTATGTCCTGCTTCAAGTTACCCCTGACTCTGTGCCGCCTTCTGGATAAGCATATAGCCCGATTTTGGTGGGGTGTGGAAGAAGGGAAATCTAAGATCCGATGGATCTCTTGGAGGAACTTGTGCAAAAGTAAGCATGAAGGGGGCATGGGGTTTCGACGCTTTGAGTTTTTCAATCAAGCGCTGCTCGCTAAAATTGGTTGGCGGATTCTTACGGAACCCCAGTCCCTTCTGGCCCAGGTATACAAAGGAAAGTACTTTCCCGATGGGACATTTTTGGCTGCTCAAGCTAGATCTCGTCCCTCTTGGGGATGGCAAAGTATCCTCTTTGGCCGGCAATTGTTGGAGGCAGGTTTGCGTTGGCAAATTGGGAATGGCAAACAGGCCCCTCTGCTTACGTCCAGCTGGATTCCTTCGCAACATCCCCGCCTCCCAGTCTATAACCCATGTGTGATTCCTGATAGAGGGGAGGTTAGGGTGGAGGAAGTGATCCAGCATGGTGAGGGTCGGTGGAATGACCGAAAGCTTCTCCAGTGGTTTGACCCGGAGACCTGCAAGGCCATTAGGGCTATCCCGTTGCCGCGCCAGGATGTGGAGGATAAATTGATTTGGCATTCCACCCCTGATGGCCTGTTCTCGGTTAAGTCTGCGTATTACGTAGCGATGAATTTGGACCGGCAGAATGGGCATTGGAGGGCTTTGGTGAGTTGGATGGATAAGGCAAGCTGGATCAGGGTGTGGGAAGCGGATATTCCGCCGAAGTTTAGGGTGTTTGTTTGGCAAATCCTCCATAGGATTCTTCCGACTACTGAAGCACTGCGTGAGAGAAAGGTGGAGGTTATGCCGCGATGTCCGGTATGCTGGGAAGCATCGGAAACTCTGGAACATTTGTTCTTGGAATGTCCGGTGGCTCGTGCTATGTGGGAATACTCTGGGCTAGCCCACTTGGGTGAAGGACTGCCCCGTCATACTTTTCCGCTCTTTCTGAAGAATCTCTTGAATTTACTGCATAGCCCTGCTCTGGTAATGTCTGTAGTGACTGTTCTTTGGCGGATTTGGCGGTCCCGGAATTGGGTGGTATTTGAAGGAAAACAATTTGGTATCCCTGCCTTGATGCGCCAATTTAACCAGCAATTACAGGAATGGCTTAGCCTACCCAGGGATCTGCCTGCTCCGAATACGCGACCCCTGGCCCTGACCACAAGTCTGGCTGGTGAGGACTCGGTGATTTGTATGTGGGATGGGGCGGTGAGGCAGGGTTCGCATGCGGCAGGGGGAATGGTTATACTAAATTCAAGTAGAGAGGTCATCCTGGCTAAGGGGGTTCACTTCCCGTGTCTGGATAATCCAATGATGGTGGAAGCGTTGGCTCTCCGGGAGGCGATTGGCTGGTGCTTGGCTAATGGGTTCGCTGATGTGAGGTTTGAGGGTGACGCCCAGGTATTAATTGAGAAGGTTCGCCGGAAGAATGCTCAAGATAGTAGTATTGGTGCCATTTTGGAAGAGTTAGTGGCTTTGTTTAATTCCCACTTAGGGTTGGCTGTGCGATTTGTAGGCCGGAGGAACAATAGGGTAGCTCACTTGGTAGCTAGACAGGCCCTGTCTTTGTCCCCGACTACTTGTCGTTTATTTGATTTCCAGGCCTGGCTGTATTCCAGGATGTAACGATCTATTGATTTCAATCTATTGATTATCTTTTGTCAAAAAAAAAAAAAAACTTGCTCTTTTTCCCTTTGCGTGTCATTTCATTACAAAACTCCCCACCACTCATCATTATTAGCAAGACACTACCGCCGCATCCAAATTAACATTTGGCCCATAGATTGAGTTAAAGCCCAAAGGCTCATTAGTCTCATACATACAAGTCCAAGAAATATAGCCCACTTGACCCGATAGGGAAAATAGATCAAAACTCTTCCCAGACGAAACCACGGCGTTTCTACGATCCTATTATTTCGTTCTTTTCAACCCTAGCCGCCTCCGCCACCGGTCGCCGGCGGTGCTTCTTTCACTTGCCAGCCAGTCAAATTCACCTGCTGCGGGATCAATGAAGCTGTTCGACGACGATGACGCCACCGTCGAAGACATCTCCAAAATTGAGATCGACCAGGAGTACGCCCGGCGGTACGAGCACAACAAGAAGCGGGAGGATCTCCAGCGATACGAGGAGTTGAAAAAGAGTGGCCGAATTGACGACGACGATTCAGAGTCGGACTCCGAGTCGTCGGACGACGATGCTGATGATATAGCTGGCGCCAACAAGAAGAAGGACATTAAGTTCTTCGAGAATCTGCTCAAGGTAAGGAAGCAGGACCCTTCACTCTACCAGAATGTTCCGATATTTAGTGATAGCGAAGAGGAAGAAGGAGACGATGATGAGAAGGGGCAGGATGATGAGAATAATGTTAATGAGAAGCAGAGTGAGGGGAGCCAGAAGAAGAGGAAGTCAATGTACTTGAAGGATGTTGTGGCCAAGAACTTGATCGAGGAAGGCCCTGAATTTGACGATGTGGAGACTAGACAAGGGAAGAGAGGGAAGACCTACAATGAAGAACAGGAGGAATTGAGGAAGCAGTTTCTTGATGCTGTGCAGGACCTCGAGGGTGGGGATGACGGGGTAGGGGAAGGGGAATTCTTGAAACTGAAGGATAAGGGTAATGGAGGGGATGGTGAGGAAGATGAGGTGTTTGAGGCCAAATTGGGTGAGTACTTTGGCCCTCAGGAAGAGTTGGACGAGAACAAGATGTTCTTGATGGAGTTCTTCAAGAACAAGATGTGGGCTGACAAGGGTACTGATGGTAGGGGTGAGGGTTTTGAGCTTGGGGACATTGATGAGATGGATGAAGAGGAGGTAGAGAGGCAAGAACAGTTTGAAGAGAGGTTTAATTTTAGACATGAAGAGAACAAAGGGGATAGGGTGATGGGTCACTCTAGGTTTGTAGAAGGTGCTATTAGGAAAGAGGAGAATCCGAGGAAAGGGCAAAGGAAGAGGAAGGAGGAGAGGATGAAGGAGGCGGAGATTCGGCGAAAGGAGGAGTTAAAGCACTTGAAGAATTTGAAGAAGAAGGAGATGGAGCAGAGGCTGCAAAAGGTTATGGAGGCTGCAGGTATTAAAAGTGACAATGGTGCATTGGATTTGGATGAGTTGGAGGACGATTTTGATCCTCAGAAGTATGATACGATGATGAAGAAGGCGTTTGATGATGGATATTACGAAGCTGAAGATGCTGATCCTGGGTTTTGCAGTGGAGGCGACGATGATGGTGATATCGAGAAACCGGATTTTGATAAGGAGGATGAGTTACTTGGACTTCCTAAAGGTTGGGATACAGCTGATAATGAGGGCGACTTTGCATCTGTTCGTGAAAGGATTTTGAAAGAAAAGGGTAAGAGTGTCGACGATGATGACGATGAACAGGAAGAAGGGGAAGAGGAAGGTAAAAAGGATGAATGGGAGGATGAAGGTAAAAGGAAAAAGCAAAAACGTAAGCTGTCATTGCTGCAGAAAACCAAGCAGGAATTGTTGGACGAGTACTACAAATTGGATTATGAGGGGACAATTGGAGACCTAAAGACGAGGTTTAAATATGCGAAAGTGAACCCTAACAAATATGGATTGAAGACGGAGGATATATTGTTGTTGGAGGACCAAGATTTGAACCAGTACGTGTCGGTGAAAAAGCTTGCTCCTTACAGAGAGAGCGAGTGGAAGGTTCCCAGCAATCAGAAGAACCAGTATAAGATGAAGGTTAAGGAGCTGAAGAATAACCTTAACATCCGGAAGGCTAGTAAGAAGAACAATAACCCAAAGATCGATCGTGATAACAATGAAGAATCAACTTCAGCCGGCCTATCCAGGAAAGCAAAGAGAAGGCAGAACCAAGCACATCTCAAATTGTCACATGGTAGGCTCTTAGCATATGGGAAGCTTCAGCCTAGTGCTAAAGGCAAGAAGAAAGTGTAATTGTACACGATTAACTTGCCAGGTATGTGAAGTAGGTGCATTTCTTGTACCGTCCTTTTCGTTCTTGTTTGTTTTTTCTTCAACAGATGAATAGCTGCTGGCTTGTTTCATGCATTAATTTATTTGTTGATGTTAATTGCTGCTTGCTTGTACCCTTCTCAAATCTCAATGTCCTGCTTCGTTTTCCTGTCGCTGTCTGATAACTAGACTCTGCTTAAGTTGTAGACCACATGGAACATCTTATTCTTATGATTCTAACCAAAGTCTGCTTTTGTGCCAGAAGCTTGATTTCAACCTTGTGTATGGCGGATCGCCTGGCTGAATTCTGAAAGATGGTGTACGATTTCTGACTAATGAATGGACAAAACAAGAGTTGATATTGTTGTTTAAACGTTTTGAGCTAGGTTGAGTTGAACTTGGCAAATACAGACTGTTCCATTTCTGGGGGGTTCAAGTCTCTGTTTTGGTAGACCCAGCATATTTAGTTCCTTCTGTTGGATTGTGATATGCAGAGAGCAGAATACAATGCCTCTTTACTGCTGTCAAATTGTTTCGTCAAGATTTCATTTCTCTATATCAGAATAGTTTCTCAATGTTGTTGTTACTCTTCACAACTTTCCGAGGGGAAGCATTCCTGGGTTCTTTTATACGTTCATGTATTTCCCCATAATTCAACAACTATCTATTCGAAAGCGGGTTTCTTGTTGTGAGGAGTTGAATACGTAACATAACAATCAAATAAACCATGATATGATTCCAAGAACTAGTTGATACAATAAAATAACTCGAGTTATTGAACATCAAATCTTGAGTTGTAATAATCTATGTTGGAGTTGTAATCCTATACTACAAAAAGAATGACTATCACTAGAAAAACTACATGCACAACTAGGATTGTTAGTTGATTCATTTCGTTTATATCCATAACCTTTTATTTGATTATTGGTTGACCGATAAACGATTTTTGCTTACGGTTAACTGCACAGTTTATATTAGTCGGTTAAACATAACCATGTAGTCGGTTAACCGACTAACTGTTTAGTTAGTGATTCGGCACGGTCAAACTAAGATCATTGATCAGTAACCTAACCAACATAAAACCTTTTTTTCAATTTTGCATTTTTGTTTATATATGTACTGTATGTGTTTGTTTAATATTATTTTCATCATTGATTTGAGTTTGGTTTGTTCCTATTGTGATTGAGAGAATAAAGCATGGGAAGGAGAAAAATGATGAGTGTGAACTGAGCGAGAGAAGTCATTGATGGATAAATTGGGGCGTGGTCTTTGCTATCTTTCCTCCAACATAAGTCATCTGATCTTCCCAAACCAATCTTAATGCTTACATTTTAATCGTAAAATCGATGGTTCTTCTTGCCTCTTTCAAAGTTAGGAATCACATTGGGAGGAAATTGAGGAAAGAAGGAGATTCTTTATTCGAAGTTTGAGAGTCTTTTCGGAGGGACATGACTGTTTTCGAGAAGAGAAATATGGATAGTTCTATTTGGTTAGTTGTCGGCTAACTGTTAACCGGTTATTCGATTATCATGTCCACAGAAAACTATTTCAGCTTATTGATAACCACACCGCTAACTTATAATCTATTCACGTTGTGATCGTTATTTGTCAGTTATTGATTAGTTATCCGTGTCACTTCTAATAAATTAATCGAATACCACACTATGTACAACTACAATTTGTATTTGTACTCACAAGGCCACAACTCATAATTAGTATGACAATTCAAATTTTGGTACCACGAATTTTAGGGGTTGTTTGCTTGATGAATTTGGTGATTGATTTGATGATGGATTTGGTTCTATCATGAGGGCTCGTTTGCTTGTTGGATTTGAAAATGAAGGTCTTGAGTTTTGAAAACCTTTGGAGTTATGATGGATTTGTTGCATTTTGTATTTGAAATATAACATTGTTTGTTTAGTTGAATTTTTATCACGAATTTAGTTCATTTGGTATTTGGTTGTCAAAAATTTGCCTTCCATAATGTGGTATTTGCAAATACCAAATGAAACGTGGTATTTACAAATACGTGGGGTCCATGAATTTGGAGCTAAAAAAGTATTTCAAATCTGTGGGCCCCACGGATTTGCCTACCTTAACAAACAATGGGGCTGGACAAAAAACATGATGGTTTGTATTTGGATATGGTCGTTTGCTTCAAAGATTTGCATCATGGATTTGGTACAAAAAAACCAACCATCATGGATTTACACACAATCCGTTGTTTGCTTTGTCAAAAAATGTTTAGATAAATCTATGGGCCCCACGGATTTGGGTTTTTTTTTGCTCCAAATCCATGGGCCCCACAGTATTATAAATCCCATCTCATACCCTGAGATTTGGAGACAAGCTGAAAAACCATCAAATCCATGGTAAAAATAGCTCAACAAACAAAGGATTTCCTCAAATCCATAATGCCCAAAATCTCTAAAATAAATCCCAAGGTTTTTAATTAGCAAATCCATGACAAAATCCTCGTTATAAAATCCTTGAAGCAAACGACCCTCAAATACAACATCCAAATCCCATTAACAAACAACACCTGAATTTTATTCAAACTCAATTGTTTCCTTCATATATTTTGTGGTTACAAATCCGTGGGCCCCATGGACTTTAATGGTCCAAATTCATGGGTACCACAGACTTGAAAATTCCACCTCTTTAGGTGGAACTTTATCATAGACTTTAAAGTTCATCATTTACCAAACTACCCCTCCTATTATCTTTCTCATCATCTCATACCAATGAGGACAATATATGTCATTTTCACTTCATGCACACATAATCTAATTAACCAAATCCATCATAAAATCAATGAAACAAACAATAGTATATACTACAAGTCCACAATGAACTCAAAACCCACATATATCCATAATTTGACAAAACCCAAATTTTTTCAAAACCTTCCTTTTTCAAATCAATGAAACAAACTATCGGTAAATTCAACAATGAACCTGCCAAAAGCGGAAGTCGTCCCCCCATACATTGCCACAGATGCAACAACTTTGACTTTAGGGTTTGAAGCCGCACCCGCGCCATTTCCAATTCCTCTCTCTCTCTCTCTGTCTGAAGTCTTATCTACTCTCTCTCTCTACCTATGCATGAACGGGATCCGATTCTGGGCCGTCGCAGCTGAATCGAGTCTCAGTCTTATCCGTCGTCTGCAATGGCGTCGAAGCCGTCCCCGTCGCCTTCCGCCAGCAGATCCGGGTCTCTCCAGGACACTCCGGTGAGCAAACTTCAACGCCTCCTCCCTCTGTATATTTATATCTTCTCTAAGCTTCTGGAACATAGGTGAAGCTTTTGGGGGCCCGATCGGGGTCCTTCCCTGTTTGTTTTCCTTGGTTGACCGAGCTTCAGCTGTGGTGAATTGTGGGAGTGGATAAGCGTCTTATAGATCAATGTAGGTTGATTTAGAGGGAGATAGCCGACTGCATTTGTTGATAGTGGCCGATTTAACGAGCTTTCTGTGATTCTCGGTGGATTTCTGGCGAATTCCTTTCTGTATGTGGGGCGATGTGAGCAATGCGCTTGACTGCAGCTGGAAACTTCCTATTAATGTCGATAGAGATTTGCTTGCCGAGGCTTGCTATCACGAAAACCTAATGCGTTTGTCTAGTCTGAGTTCTGGAGCATGATGTGAGAAAGAACAGCAGCTTCATGTGACTATTCATTTTGGTTCTCTGCAGATGGCAAAGCCAGACGAGTCAGCTCCTGAGAGCGAGGAGATTGCATCAGTTATTGAATCTCTGAAAAGACACGTTGTAGATGAACGGTGTGTTTCTATAAAGGTGCATTGGTGTTACGACGTTATGATTTTTCAGTTTGTGGTGTCTGCTGGGTTTAGATTTATGTCTTCGTTTCTTTAACTAGGTGGTATCTGGTTTTCGCAGGAAAGGATGGAAAAGAACAGACACAAATTGGCTAGTGTCACGAGCCATCTGCAGAAGCTGTCGATGGAAAGACGAAACAGCTGGATTAACCTTGCCGATTCTAGCCACGATCTACTGAAAAAGAGGCAAGATGATGCGATTGGTATGCATAGCGGCATTGGTACTAGTAGTGGTGATAAAGACAGCGACAGTCATCAAGAAGACTCTCATGCTTCTACGGCTGTTCTTCTGGGAACCAGTATTCCTCCGGGGAAGAATTCCGTTCGGCCAATTAGGCTGCCTGAAGTTAGGAAATTACCTCCTTACACCACCTGGATTTTTTTGGACAGGTGACTCAAATTATCATGCAGCTTCATCACTTCATTCTCTTGATACGTTATTTGCCAACATGTTTCCTGACTGACGTGTTTTTTTCTGTATCTATATTGCTTCGTGTTTACTTTTTTTCTTTTCGATCTCTGGTTAGATTCCAAGTTCTCTGGGATATAATTCTGCTTTCCTACTGCTGACATTGTGTGTACCAATGTTAAAATATTGGTTTTCAATTATCTTCGCTTGCTTTACTAAGAAACTGCAAATTCAAGAACTTTAGGATTGCCTTATGCTTATTTAGATCCGTATGCTTTTTGGCATCCTTCTCGTCTATTGACCTTTTTATTGGGTTACTGTGGAACTCACAAAGAAGCCAGAGAGGGAGATGTTTTTAGACCTGGGTTTCACAGGCTGTTGATTTCTTCAGAACTCAAGCCATTGATTCATTTAGAATTTTAGATGGCTGATCTATGTTTCTATACTTGGTACAGAAATCAGAGGATGACAGAAGATCAATCAGTGGTGGGTCGGCGAAGGATTTATTATGCTCAGAATGGCGGGGAGGCACTTATTTGTAGTGATAGTGAGGAAGAAAATGTTGACGAAGAAGAGGAAAAGAAATATTTTTTGGAATCAGAAGATTATATTATACGGTTAGTAGATCTCAAAAGTACACGGGAAAATCCCTGATGACCATTTGTTGCTTTCTTAGTTCTTACCTTCCTTTCTGTGTGAAGTCCCTTGCTGTTGTTTCTCATTTTTCTTTGTAACATATCGTAGAGAATTTATGTATGAACCGCTGTTGTCATTGTGTTGATCTACTCATAATTCCTTGCTTTATGCCTTCCCCATTTTAATAAAATAGTATGCTAAATAATGGCCTGAATATATTTATGTCGTGACATTATGCATATGTAAGAACCAACTGTTAACTTCTTACATTATTTCATCAGCATGACAATCAAAGAAGCTGGATTCTCAGATGCCGTTATAAATTCCTTGGCGGAATGTTTCTCTAAAAATACAGATGAAATCAAGGTATGCTGTTAGCCAGATTCTGGGTGTTCATGTGCTTTCATGAATCCTTTTGTTTTTGTCTCCTTATCTTTGTGAAGAAGTAACTATTTTCTCAATTGTCTAATTTCGATACACTGTTAGCATCGATGAATACCAGTCATACACTAAGCTCTTGTGAGACTGTTTCCATTTTCTTTACCCGCTTTATAACCTGATATCAAACACATACAGGCAAGATATGAAAGTCTAACCAAGGATGAAAAGACTTCAGTGGATTCCCTTCATGTGGACAGTGAAGCTTCGTCGTTGAATTCTTTTCTTGATAAGGATCTTGAAGCTGCTTTGGATTCGTTTGACAACTTATTTTGTCGTCGCTGTCTTGTATGTCTTGTTCTTATAACCCTTACCTATTTGTTATCTTTCCTTGTTTTTCATGTCACTTATCATGGAGTTCTTCTTTCAATTTCCAGGTCTTTGATTGCAGATTGCATGGATGCTCACAAGATCTTGTCTTTCCAGTAAGTTGATAATGTAAGAAATGAACATCGCAGTGTTGCTTGGAAGTCCAGTGGGCACCTTACTTGTTTTGTTGATGCTGCGCATTGTTAGGCTGAGAAACGACCACCACTGAACCATCCAGACGTTGAAAATCTACCATGTGGTGAACACTGCTACCGATCGGTACATAACTTGATGAATCTTTGCAAATTAAATATGCTGGGGGAATTCCATAACGGACAGTACATACTAAACAACGCTAAGTATCTTCAAATGCATAATATCAGGTGTCAAAGTCCGAAAAAATGCCTACTGAGGATTCCCCTGAGCTTGGTGATACGAAAGACAACTCTGTCCAGCCATCATCTGGTAGTGCTGGGACTCGCACGACTGCAAGGAAAAAACATACTCCATGTGCTCGGAAGAAGGCCAGGCCCTCCCAAAGTGAAAGTGCCTCGTCAAATATAAAAAACATGTCAGACAGTAGTGACTCAGAGATTGGACCCCAGCACACTACTTCCACAAGCCATTTGTCACCCTCCAAGACAAAACTTTGTGGAAAGGGTGGGGTTTCTCAAAGGAATAGCAAACGAGTGGCTGAACGTGTTTTGAGTTGCATTAAAAAAAGGCAGAAGTTGATAGGATCTGAGTCAGATTCTGTTGCTAGTGGAGGTCTTTTGGGAGGTGATGCAAAACTTAGCAGTAGTCCACACAGAGAAAATGAAGATGCCAATTCTTCTTCCCAGAAAAATTCAAAATCAAGGTCTAGGAAAACAGAGCTCTCTGTTCAGAATGTGCAAGGTGTAGCTCGTGATGGTATATCAAGTGCGATGGTTGCCGATCCACCTGGAAGTAGCAGTGATGTTACGTTGAGAAAAGATGATTATGCTGATGGAAACAGTCGTAAAATGGAATTGAATGATAACCTGTCTTGGAAAGCTTTTGAGAAAAGTCTTTTTGAGAAAGGCGTGGAGATCTTTGGCAAAAATAGGTATGTGATGGTTATTTAGCTTTACTTCCACGAAATTTTTTCTACCGATGTGTCTTCCCTTTTGTTTAAAGGAAATCAAGTATCTGTGTGAATTTTCATTGCATGATGGTTATGCTGTCAGGGTTTGTGACGTGCTTAATGTAACTGGTTTTGTTCTTGGTGGCAGCTGTCTAATTGCTAGGAACCTGTTAAATGGTTTGAAGACATGTGTGGAAGTTTTTCAATTCATGAGACAAGCAGATAAACGGCTAGCCTACCAAGCAGGTGATGCTGCAAATTGTCTTGGTGACGGCTATTCCAAGTTTGATCAAGGCAATAATGAAGTTAGGAGAAGATCAAGGTTTTTGCGCAGAAGGGGTAGAGTTCGTCGCTTGAAGTATTCTTGGAAGTCTACAGCCTACCATTCTATTAGGAAACGGATAAGTGAGAGAAAAGATCAACCATGCCGCCAATACAATCCTTGTAACTGCCAAACAGCTTGTGGAAAGGAGTGCCCATGCCATTTGAACGGCACATGCTGTGAGAAGTATTGTGGGTGAGACTTTTTCCTAATCTCTAAGTCATATATGATATATCTTTGAGGAGTGCCCATGCAAGGTGAAAACATTTTAAATTATATTTCACTATAAGATAAGTTCAAAGGCAAGGTAATTTGGTGTGTTTCGTTAGTTTGGCGTTGTATCCATACCAATGAGCAAGATGCATGGTCATAGTATTTATGAAGCTTAAATGAACTCAAAACTAACAATTACTCTTTTCCTTTTGTTCATTTCTCAAAACTACCTATTTTTCTAGATGTCCTAAAACTTGCAAAAATCGCTTCCGGGGCTGTCATTGTGCCAAGAGTCAATGTCGAAGCCGTCAATGCCCTTGCTTTGCTGCAGACAGGGAATGTGATCCAGATGTTTGTCGGAATTGTTGGGTTAGGTGAGTTGTTATTCTTTAGTCTTCAATGATTATTTTTCATATTGTAATGTGTCTATTTTTCTCAACATTGTGACATATCTTACCATCACCCTACAAAAAGTAGTTTGCACCTCTTTTTTCTAGAATATATAATGATCCTCTCTTCTATTCTTTTATTGTGTCTTCCTCCCTTTGACTATTTGACATTTGATTGCAGTTGTGGCGATGGCTCACTTGGTGTGCCTAATCAAAGGGGCGACAATTATGAATGCAGGAACATGAAGCTTCTTCTCAAACAACAGCAAAGGGTATCCATATTTTCCTCTATGCTTTTCCTAGTTAATAGCTTTTATTATATATAAACATGTGGACATCTTTTGAAATCTTCCATACTATCTAAAGTTTGCCTTAGATCAATCCAATAATCATAATTCCAAAGTATTTATTAGTTTTACTATTCTGAAGGAGTGAACCCACAATAGTAGCTAGACGGTTGGTTTTTGTTTCTGTTTATTCTTTCTGAAGTTGTCTTTGCAACTGAATGTTTCTTTGTTAAGAAACTCTCTTACTCGATGCTGTTTATGTTCAGGTTTTACTTGGAAAATCTGATGTATCCGGATGGGGAGCTTTTTTGAAGGTACTATTGGTTATTTCATCATTCTGATGAAGTCGTTGATTCCTTGTTACTGATGTTTAAAAGTTATTGCTGGCCTCCAGAAAAGCGTGGGTAAACATGAGTACCTAGGTGAATACACGGGAGAGCTGATATCACATAGGGAAGCAGACAAGCGTGGCAAGATTTACGACCGCGAAAACTCATCATTCCTCTTCAATTTGAATGATCAGGCAGGATGGATTCTACTTTTTTACCCAACTTTAGGATGCATGGAGGACAATGCCTCTTCCTTTCCTCTTCAATTACGTGACTCCATGCTTTTGTTGATATGCAGTTTGTCCTTGATGCTTACCGGAAGGGTGACAAGTTGAAGTTTGCCAACCATTCTCCTGATCCAAACTGCTATGCAAAGGTTCCCAGAAAACCCACTTATCAATTCAAATATTGTCAAGTAATGCTGCTTCATTGCTCGGCACCACTCTTTCTTTCTTTTTTGTTCCAATTCGGAGCATTTTGGGATGGTGCAGGTGATTATGGTTGCAGGAGATCACCGAGTTGGCATATTTGCCAAAGAAAGAATCAACTCCGGGGAGGAGCTTTTCTATGATTACCGTTATGAACCAGACCGAGCTCCTGCTTGGGCAAGGAAGCCCGAAGCATCAGGATCGAAAAAGGAAGAGGCCTCGCACCCAGGTGGCCGTGCCAAAAAGCTGGCCTGAAAGAATCTCAGACTCACAATTTCGTTCATTCTTTTTACAGCTCTGAAGGCGTAGGGTTCTAACCATTTGTGGGATTCAGGCCATTGCTGTCTCTCTCTCTTGCCAGCTTAACTGACTGCTGCATCATTTTGTGTATTTCGTGTTCTCCTGCGTCGGCATTTACGCCCAGGTCGAGCCATTGCATCCAATACAGCAGAAAAAAGCGTAGAGAAATGAAGAATGAGGTTAGTTAATTGATGCCACCACCGATCTAACTTGCACAGATTTTCTCATGTAAAAGGAAAGCATTTTGGTGCGGGAGGAGGGCCTGTCTACTTTTCTATCTAACATTCTTTTCAGTGCTTTTTCTCTTCTCTCTTTCGTTTCAGACGCTTTACGAAATGCAATCTTTTGCAGCTTTTAGTATCTTCGCCTTCTTTTGCATCCCATAATTGTCTGCCCGTTCTTTCTTTTTTAAGCTTATCGTATGTCAGAATTTTCTTTTGTGGGAGCTGCAAATTTTGTTAGAAGGCATAATGGTGTGTGTCTGCATGTTGAACTATCCAATATTACCAATCCCATTGTGAATCTGAATCTTTCTTCGTAGTTGGAATTTTTTTTAGCATTAGAGGATTCAAATGGGTTATAGGCGCGATCCATCCTTGTTTGCTTCATGGATTTGGTGAGGGATTTGGATCCATCATGGATTTTGTCTAAAATTCATTGTTTGCTCGATGCATTTAGGGCAACAAATCCGTGGACCCCACGGACTTGAAAGTTCCACCTATTTTAGTATTTAGGTGGGAATTGATCATGGACTTTGTAGTCCATCATTTAAGACCAAACTACCCCTCCTATTTCATTTCTCTTCTCATACCAATGAGGGCAATAAATGTAAATTTCACTTCATGCATACAAATCTAATTAACTAATTCCATCATGAAATCTATGAAACAAACAATGGTATTTTTCAAGTCTATGATGAACCCAAAACCTTCATATATCTATGGTTTTACAAAATCAAAGTTTTTCCAAAACCTTCATTTTTCAAATCCACGAAGCAAACGACCCCTTAATGTGAATTGGAGATGGGGTCACAGTCACAAGCACGGTAATTCTGATAGTTACCACTTACCATTTGGAGTGGTTTCTCGGTTTCGGTTAAACCAGAAACTGTTGGTAGAATGTAGTTAAAGGTTCGTTTTTGGTTTCTCGTTTATTATGACTAAACCGAATTCGTTAAGGGCATATCGGTTTTCAGTTAATTGAAAATCGACAAAATTTTAACGATTTTGAAGTCGATTTTCAGCCGTTGGCTCATTCAGGTTTCGGTTTGTAACGAATTTAACCGAACCCTTCCCCCATCATCAAGTTTTCGCTTGTTACGATCTCGAGCAGAGTTATTCTTTTTAATTTTTTTTTTTCTTCTATGGTTTAAAGGTATCATTGCTGTTTTCCACTATTTCCATAATCTGAAACCGGCACATAATTTGAAAAGGGTTCAAACGTGAAATGGACTTTTAGTGGCAGCCGCAATATTGACTCTTGCTCCGAGAGTTACGAGGCTAAGGACACCGGCGAAGTCAACTGGTAGGTGAAGTCGAGCCGTAGATGTCCTTTGTGGTATGGCTGATTAGAGTGGCCGGCGCCGGCGGGCCGGGGAATACGGCGGAAATCCGGTCGCCAACTTCTGCCCGTTGCAACTGCCGCCGTCATACATCATGCGTGGCAGCAAAATTCGAGCAGATTGAATCTGTGATGGCGAATTTGGGATCGGGAGGAAGAGTATAGAAAAGGTGCCGCCCGTTTTTTAAGATGTAATAAATAAGTTTCATGAGGCTTGGTCTACGAGGCTAGACGTAAAGAGGCTAAGTTCTCATCCCGTTAAGTCGTAGTTGTCAAGGTGGTTTTGTCGATCTAGTTGTCGATATCATTTCGAATAAGTTATATAATTTTTTACCACCATTCTAAGCGGGTAGTAGAGTTGGTTGGCTAACTAAATTGTCGAGTCAGCTTGACCACGAGCTCAACATGAGCAAACTCGCGAGTTCAACTCAACCAATTTCCAAATCAAAGTAACCTTCTTGCCCTCAAAGACAGCCAAGTTACGAGATTTCCAAATACGTCACAAGAGGGTCACCAGAGCCATGATTTGAGCCGGGTGAGTCATCCGATGCAAACGTTTCTCGAAAAAAAAACGGAAAAGTCTGTCTCGGCAAACCATGACCCAGGTGTTCCAAGCCTGAATAAGCTCAGAAATCTGCAGCGACTGAACACTCTTAAAAAAGGTGCTCCATCGGTTCAGACTCCGCCCAATTAGGATGTTAATTAATTAGGCTTTGGAACCAAAAATGGATTAAACTAAAGCAAGCTACTGTGCGCTCAAACCCCCGCCTTTACTCTCCCAAAAAATGACGTCCCCACTTCAACTCAACTCTCTCGGCCGTCTATCTACCTCCCTCTCGCTTTCTGCTCTCTCTTCCTTCCTTCCTTCCTTCCTTCATCCCACTTCTCGAGCTCTCCATTTCTCTGCATCGGCACTCCAAAATGTCTGCGTGTTTCCTGCACCACCCACTCCGCTGCAGACCCAGACCGCAGCTTTCAGCTGGGTACCTCATATTTTCTCTGCTCATCTCCTCGGTGCTAATTGCTCGCCCAGCGGTAAACCCTTCTCCCCCCTTCAATTTCCCGCACTTTTTCCCCTTCACGATCCGTCGAATTTCACTTCCCCCGTCGCCGGCATTGCTCTGAATTCTTTCAAACAGGTTTTGGACCCGTGTTCTCCTTCCGCCAGCTGCGGGCAAGGGCTTTATTGTGGCAACTGCCCTGCTTTGGGCAAGAATCAGCCCGTCTGCACCAGAGGCCAAGCTACCGTGCCCACATCCATCGTAATGTTTTTGCTTTTTTCGCGGTATCTGTTCCTCGTTTTCGCTTTGATGGGTTCCTGGTATTTGTGTGAACTGAAGCTGTGGGGGGATCTTCCTTCATTTGGGTGCAGATTGGCGGATTACCCTTTAACAAGTATACTTGGTTAGTCACTCATAATTCTTTCAGCATCGTCGATTCGCCGCCTTTGCCTGGAGTTCAGAGGTTGACGTTTTACAATCAGGAGGATTCTGTTACTAATCAGCTCTTGGTATGCAATTCTTGGTCTTTACTCTTTTTCCTTGTTTGTTTCAAGTTTTCTCTTGCTTCCCGTTTGTTTCTCAGGAAAGTAGACTTTGTTCCCCATTTTGTGTCTTGAGTAATTCTTGGGTTGGAGTGGAGTCTGAGTTTTTATGGATTTTCTATTCCTTTCTTGCACTTAATTAATTATTGCCATTTGGGCAAGTTTCGTAGGAATCCGGTTCTTTTAGTTGTCTATTTTGTTATGGAATAGAGATTTGAACTAGTATTTTGTCTTAAGTGGTGTGCGTTTTCCCCCCTGGTTTGTTTTGGCTAGAATGGTGTAAGGGGACTGATGCTGGACATGTACGAGTTCAATGGCGATATCTGGCTTTGTCATTCATTCCGAGGGCAATGTTACAACTTCACAGCCTTCGTAATATACCCTCTCTTCTTATTTCAACAAGTTGGAATCAAGTTGAAAACCTCTTTTTGTCATATTCTGATGTCTTTCCATTTGGTTTCTTGGTCAGCAACCTGCAATCAACACTTTAAAAGAAGTAGAAGCATTCTTGAGTCAAAACCCATCTGAAATCATCACCATTATAATCGAGGACTACGTGCATACTCCAAAAGGGTTGAGCAATCTCTTTGCCCGTGCTGGTTTGGATAAGTATTGGTTCCCCGTTTCCAAGATGCCGAGGAAGGGTGATGATTGGCCTACTGTCAACGAAATGGTGCAACAGAATTTGCGTCTCCTGGTTTTCACTTCTGTTGCTTCAAAGGAAGCAGAGGAAGGAGTTGCTTATCAGTGGAAGTATATGGTGGAAAACGAGTGTAAGAGATTCAAATTCATAGATTAAGTGTTTTCATATTGCTTGGTTTGTTGTTTTTTCTTATGTTCCTGTCACGTTTACTATGCATTTATTGTTTCAGCTGGAGATCCTGGAGTAAAGCCAGGCTCATGTCCAAACAGGAAAGAATCTAAGCCATTGAACTCGAAGAGTGCATCTCTTTTCCTAATGAATTACTTCCCCACTTATCCAGTTGAGAGCGATGCTTGCAAAGAACATTCAGCTCCTCTTGCTCAGATGATTGGAACTTGCTACAAATCAGCTGGCAATCTTATGCCGAATTTCTTGGCTGTCAATTTTTATATGGTAATAACCTTTTTTTCCAACTTCTACCTTAATTTATTACAGAATAATCCCTTTTCATCAGAGTTCTAGTTTGGCATTCTTGACTGAGGTGCAAATGATGCAGCGGAGTGATGGTCCTGGTGTGTTTGATGATCTGGATCGAATGAATGGCCCGACATTGTGTGGTTGTAGTACTCTTGCCGCATGCCAGGTTTGTGTATAACTTTTTTGTTTGTGTTTTCATCAGCGAATATTGATTTTATCCAGAAGTGAGATATTGAAATAGGTAGATCAATAATAGAAAGATTTGAGACTAGGTGGGATTGTGGTATTAGGTGGTCAAATTAGAAAGTAGATGTGATTGAAGTGATGAATATTGATGGGGGGATTTATTCAATTTTGCGATGTCCTCCATCCTTTTGCTTTTCCCTAAAGTAATGAGCGCATAAATGTCTAATAAGTGAGAAATTGGGCTTTCACTTGCCTAAAAGCGGCACTGCCAATTCTTTCAGTTGGTGAAATTACAAATCTTTCGCCGATGGAATGTTGGATATCTAATACCTTCGATCGCCTAAACAAACAAGTGATTTTCTGCATTCCATCCGTTGAAAGAATTGGGGCGACAATCCTCTGGTTAAATACCACTTCCAATTCCAAAGGACCTCTTAAGCAATCCAATATGGTCCTGATGTTTTTTAATCGTTCCAGCAATGTCCCATCTTCGTGAGTCAATGAACTTCCCTTATTATTGCAGGCTGGAGCACCTTTCGGGTCATGCAGAAATATTACTACACCTAGTACAAGTCCTGTAACGAATACTGCAGGAAGCATGTCGTCAAGCCCAGTAGGAGGAGCTGGAACCTTTTCAGGCTCTGTTCAGTTTAGATCGGCTTCAACATCCACTTCTCCAAATATATGGGATTTCTGCTTGATAACCATTCCATTGATGGCATTCCTATTACAGAAAAAGTAAATGACTACTCATGGTATGAGGTATAAGAAGCAACCCTCTTCTGGTTAATGTTGCTCTAATCTTCTGCTAAATGCCACTCATGGTGTTTTGGCATTACCTGGTGCAGAACTCGTGATCACACGTGTGATGTTTCCTTTTCCTTGTCGAGAAGCCCAAGCACTTCCTAGAGAGGAGCTATGTAATGGCGATGCTGAGAACCTTTGGTATAAGTAGTGACTTCTACAAAATCAGAGATAGATAGTAGTCAAAGTAGAACCATTGAACATGTCAAGTAGAGGTTCAGGTAAGCACTAAGCAGCTTAGTTTCATTACAGTATTTTACTTGGATCTTTTTGTACATACTCAATGCCTTCTGCCAAACACCATTGCCTTTTGTTTCTGATCAATATCCACTTCAACTGCTAGATGACATGATGCATTTCTACTCTGATAATCTTCGTTGTATAATCTCTGCAAGACTTACCACTAACATCTTCCCTACCCTAAGTTTGGCTAATTCTCTGTATTTTAATGTTTGTCCCCAGGTTCTCTGTTGGCCTTTTAGCCCCTTCGGTTTAGTTTGGTGCAGGCAGGGATTGAAGTAGCAAAATATGCAGAGGTGCATATCCCTATTTATTATCATGCCTAGGGTTTACTTTGTAATTCTATTCAAACACTATAATATAGGTGTTTTGCTTTGCTTTCCACTCCCACTCCCACGCTCCGCTCTATGTATTACTCACTTCTACCTTGCTGTATGCTTGTAATAGACCATTTAGGTTACTGTAATTGAATCCTTCTATAGACCTGAATATTCAGAATCAACCTAGCGCTTTGAATACCCGCTGAGACACTCTTTGTCTGCAGTCGATGATGAACAATGGCTTGGTAACATTACTCTAGGTTTTCCTACAGAATCTGTTTGTACAGCACTAGCAAATTTCGATCACTTCATTTATATTACATCTGTGTATACAATGATAGAGGGGGGAAAAAGGAAAACTTTAGTACTTTACAGAACATTGGCAGGACAATCACTCTGCACTTTTGAGCAATTATTTCAACAAACAATTGAAATACAAAAGAACAAATCTTTACAAATGAAACACAAATCGAATTTCCTCAAGCGACAGGCAACATAGAAGCCGAGGTAGCACCACCATTGTTGGACAGCAACCCAGCTGCCTTTATGTGCAGAGCTGGGCTCATGGCGAGCAGAGCAATGAAACAGTCGACTGGAACTCTAGTTCCCCACACATCCATCGCTTCCAGCTTCCTGCACTTGTTTACCAGACTAACGAGTCCAACCTCCGTCACATGACGGCAGCTCCACAGCACAATACTCTGCCCCAAAAAAGAACCCAAATTTGTAAACATCAAACTACCATCCACCCTGTTCTTTCACATGCTTATGGATTCAAGCTGGAAACCAACCTTCAAATGTGGGCAGCTTTCCGCAATGGCGAACAATGAATCATCAGTGACGAACGTGCCACCAATGTTCAGGTGCTGCAAGGAGCTAGCTTTCGATATCTGCCAGCCAAAGAAACAAGCAACAACAAAGTCTGACGACGTATGAAGAAACTGGGGGTCTCATTTATGCTTTAATGATTCGATAGACCAACCAACCAGATGAACGACGCCATGATCAGTGATTCCAGTCATTCCCCAAAGTGAGATGGATGTCAAGTTTGGGACGCAGTTTGCTGCAGAGATTCTGCAGAGACCCTCGTCGGTTACTTGACAACCCCACCTGCTCCTTGATCTGGTTAAATTTCAAGCATTTCAGTAGCGTGGAATTAGCAGAACAAAAAAACTCAAGACTGCAAAAACAAAAAGCTCTAGAACAATCACAAACATGTCAAGTTCTTTGAGGGAGAAGGCTAGATGGACGAGACGGGCAGTGGAATCATCATCCATCTTCCACCCAGCAAAGCTCAAACACCGCCTTCTCCCCACCGACTGCTTCACTCCTTCCTTCCATTTCCTGCAAACCCCGCTTGCCCTGCACATCAAAATTCAGAACCCAGGACCCAACATTCAGCCATGATTTGTTAACTAACTAACCAAGCCAAATCAAACACACCAGAAAGGAACCCAACTGAGCCAAATCGGTGAAGGAAGTGAGGAAAGCGAATATGTGAGACAGAAGATCGGTTGGGAGCCGATCAATCTCTTCCTCCATTACCAGAGAGGTAAGACTGAATTACGCCAAATGGGTTCTCAGGGAAACTTGTGGGGTGTGGTTGTGAAGTCTTAAACACTTTCTCTGTCTCGTGATTAAGAAGAAGAAAGAGGAGGAGAAGGAAGGGATAGGGGACCTGGTGGCGAGTGGTAGTACGTTAAAGTTTTATGAATCAAGCTTCCCCGTCATATACCCCAAAGAAGCTGGAGGAGAGTTCAAAAGGAATTGAGAGGAAGGATTGAGAAAGGATGTTGTCATTATCTTGTCATCACTTCCTTCTGGAATCTCTCTCTCTCTCTCTCTCTCGTCGTTTCTTCTTTTGTTTTTCATTTCTTCTTGTTTAAGAGAAAACCATTGGACGAGGAAAGAGATTCTCCAGGGGGATGCATCTCTGTTTACCGTGCTATCATGTTGGTTGTTGGACTTTCTCAATCGAGGGGGAAAATTTAGAAGGGTAAATATTTGATTCACTGTAAATTCCATTTTAACACGTAGAACTTTATTTTTATAGTCGGTAATGTTAGTGAATGGTATATAATCCACGATTGAACCTCTCCCAACAACTTGAGTTATTGGGATCAACTGGTTCTTGACATGGTATCAGAGTCTTATGTGATCAAAAGGGATTGTGTTCGAATCCTGGTGACCCCGTTTGTGAAGCACATGGTATCGTGTATTCATACCTGTGCAAACGAAAGCCCTATGAGGTGACTGACTTTCGTTTGAGGGAGGTGCGTTAATGAATGGTATATGAACCACGATTGAACATCTCCCAACAACTCGAGTTATTGGGATCAACTGGTTCTTGACAGGTAAATGGTAAATTCTTGACATGATAATTAATCTCATGGCCAAATGATTGTAAAGTGTCGTGAAACCGTCTACTGTTATCGAAACTTGTATGGTACTCGAATATTATAAAAATATCATAGCAATTTGACTTACGTTGTTAAATTGAGAATTTTAGATAATACCCCGATCAATTTTTGAAGGTATTACATCAGCACAATGTTAGTTGAATATATTGCTATATTTTACCACCGTAAGTTATTGGTTTAACCAACATTATATTACTGTCTACTGAAATACCATACTACTAACTTGTCCAATACAATTTCTCGTCGGAGTGAGACTATACGAAACCAAAAAGTCAAATAGAGAACCAAAGTTACATTATGTATGACAAACGCTAATTAAGAGGTCTAGTTGACCTTTGTGACAAGGGGGAAAACTAAATTATCATCAAAACATTGCGTAACTAAATTCCTTTAGCTATTCTGGTTTTCCTTTCAAACCCCCCGATTACTTCTATGGGAGGAAATAAGGCAAACACAAAGGCTTAATTGCAAGTTTGGTCACTCGAATTGCTACAAAATTTCACGTTTGCCACTCAAATTAATTAATTCCATTTATAGTCACTTAAAATAGGTTAACAGTCCAAGTTTGGTCACTGGCCGTTAGTCTCCGTTAACTTTTGCTGATGTGGCGGTCAACTCTTATAGTTGACCGTTAAATGCATGACGTGGCAATTAAAAAAATATAAAAAAATAATATTTAATATTTTTATAATTTCCACCTCATTTTCAAAATTATTAAAAAATAAAATTTTTATTTCCACTGGCCGGCGCCGGCGACCAAGCTGCACCACTTCCGCCTCGGACGCCTTGTCGCAGGAGATTGAGGCGGAGGCGCAGAAGGTGGAGGAGAGGGAGTAACCACGGGCGCAGGCGGCGGGGAAAGAACGGGCGGCGGGGTTACCGGCGGAGGAGATGGGACAAGCGGAATGGGCGGGAGGCACGGTGGAGCTACAGGTGGTGGCAGAGGAGGAGGAATCCTTGTCCCCGGAGGATTAGGAGGGCGGCGAGCAGGGGAGGGCTTGAAAGGGTTGTCCGGCGAAGGGGAAGTTAGGAAAGGCCATTGCCCACAGATCCCAAATAGGTACTGGAAGAATGGGTCACAGCGGCTGCTCGACGGCGATCTTCCGCCTCTTCCACGGCCTCTGCCGGCTCTACCTCTGCCGCCTCTGCTCTGCTTCTCTGTTTTCTCCCATTTGGGCTTGTGTGGTGGTTGTTTGGTGTCACTGCTGCTACAGAGTGATTGTGTTGCGAGGAGCAGTAGGCCTATGAGAAAGACTGTAAGAATTTGGGTTGTTTTCATGCTTTTTTGTTGCTACTTGTGATCAAAGGCAAGAAGAGAGGCAGCGTTGGTTTGCTTTATAATTTGTAAAATGGTGGCAGAGGAGGGCGTTGGCATTGTTTGGCGCATCCATGGAAGGGGACTGGGCGAGCATTGATTGATGATGGTGCAGCAATCAATGGGGACGACAGAGCCCCAACGGCTACTCCATGGAAAGGAAGAAGGTTTAATTCGCTTGCTTCCGCTTGCTCTGGTTAATTAATGTTATTCGAATTCGCGATTTAGTTTTAATCTTTGCCATGTTAATTTAATTAAGCTAATAAATTAATTGCAGGTGTGTTGGTTGGTTCCCCTTTCGCTTCGTTATCCATCCACCCCCTCCCCTCCCTCCAAGATCCAGAGCTTTTTGGTTCAGCGGCGACAAGGCGGCCGAGGCGGAAGTGGTGCAGCTTGGTCGCCGGCGCCGGCCAGAGGAAATAAAAATTTTATTTTTTAATAATTTTGAAAATGAGGTGGAAATTATAAAAATATTAAATATTATTTTTTTATATTTTTTTAATTGCCACGTCATGCATTTAACGGTCAACTATAAGAGTTGACCGCCACATCAGCAAAAGTTAACGGAGACTAACGGCCAGTGACCAAACTTGGACTGTTAACCTATTTTAAGTGACTATAAATGGAATTAATTAATTTGAGTGGCAAACGTGAAATTTTGTAGCAATTCGAGTGACCAAACTTGCAATTAAGCCCAAACACAAAATAGCAAACCGCATGTTACGGTTTCACGTGACGGACCACTAACCACATGAAACTGTTGGGCCATTAGGCCCAACTATGCCAATCCTTCCATCTTCCTTTAGAGTCCAACCCAACCAACATTTCCCAAGCCCACATCTGCTCCACAGCTTCATTTGGTAGCTTTTTCTTATATTTTACATTGAACCGAAAATAAATTATTGAATATAATATTGTTGTAAAATACAATGTTTGTTATTTGTGATTATATATGTCACATTAGTTAAAAGCAGCGATAAAACAATTTCAACTCAATTATCTCAATAATCACAGCTAAGAGCTTAGATATAACAATCACTCATTTTGAATGATAGTTTCTGTCACATCACAGAACACAATCCATGTATTGTGACTGATAAAAAAGATGATACATGCTAAACAATATAAGTATATAAAGTTATAAACAAACAATCTCACGAAAACAATCGCAATGTCCACAATGGTTTTATAGGGTCGTTTGGTTTTGGTGATAGTTTGGTTGGGTTATTTACAAACTTACAATACATGCAATGTCCACAATGCATCGTTTTTTTAAATTTTCTGCGCAAATAATACATGCATTGTTTGCTTGATTTGACACAAACTATCACTCAAAATGAGTGATAGTTAAATCTCAAGTTTTCGTTGAGATTGTTTGATGGGGATTGTTGTGTTTTCTTCTTCTTCTTCCAAATATGTCCCTACCTTTTTCTGCGTGTTGCTTTTTTATATTAAAAACAAAGGGCAAAAGTGACATTTCACCCAAAAAGTGATATAATTTATTTAAATACTACAATAACTATCACAAAAACCAAACGATGAACACTACAATGCACCAATTTTCTTATATACATGTATATTATTATGCATGCATTGATGACAATACATCGATTTAACTATCACCAAAACCAAACCAACTATAGTGTAATCTGCTGCCCGTTTCAAAGAAGTATCAATTATGCACACGTCGAAGCTTTACCCAATGGGAACAAGACACGATCGTACTACAAACACTGTGGTCTGGGGAAACACTATCTGAAAGTTCCCAAGCATTTCAGTGTATGAACCAATCAAAGAATCACCTCCAAAAATTTTACCAAACTGTAAGATTTTCATGATGAGACTACGCACGATGACGTCTGGTGGTTGATATTGACCACCGAATGGGCCGGGCCGGCCCGTAGAGAAGCAGTCACTGAGAGGAGCCAGGATTCGAGGATCTTTTCCACCAATAGGAGTTCGCCACGCAAGATTTTAGCGTGTCCAGCTAATCTGACGTTGGTTTCAGAGACGGACTTAAAGACGTCGACGGGGATTGACGGACGGAGGAGATCCGTTCGATTTGCTGACCACAGACCTAACGTTGCGGTTTGACTCTTATCTTACAACTTCCTCAATCCTCATATCTAGCAATCCGAATAACTATAGGGCTAACAACTCACAAAAGTATGGAGTCATTGGATCGCGCATTGGCTGCATCACAACCGGTAAATCGACGGCTTGATCACTTACTTGGAGGACTAAACCCGAGCCAACACCATACACAATGACTGTCGGTTTCGATCACGGACGGCTCGACTCGAACAAAGTTTATGAACTTATTTTTCCAAACTGTGCGCTTGTATCTTTGTATTTTTGTTCATTTTGACATTCTTTGATATGATTTCATCATTGACGACGGTCCCTCGTGGATTAAAACACTGCAATATAATTGGTGAAACATAATAATGACAAATAGCATGACACAGAAAGAACCAGGATGAGATGGAATTAGAAGATGGAAGAACAAGTATATATGTTTACATTCTAACTCTTACCATTTACTTGATCTCTCGTATTTGAGAATTAGACGGATTAAATCGAAATCGACTCGATAATTCGCTCCACGTTTAACACAACTCATAGATACTTACTACAAGTCTCAAAGACTTCACACTCTCTCAAGTCTCAACAAATCAAAGCCTGACAGTGACGAAAGCCAATCAAATCCAATCCTCCATTTCTTTAACCAAAACCTGCGCCGGTCAAAAACCCTTTCCCCGCCTTCAGAGACCAATTATTACACCAGTTCCCCAGTCACAATTCTCAATGCCACCAAGCTTTTAATACAAATACCAGACCACCTCTGCCCCCAGCAATGGCGCCTCCTATAACAGTATAACTCCATCCCTCCATAGTCCATAAACAATCAGCAGCATTTCCCACATCTGATCTCTCCTTAGCTCCCTAGAAACCCAGACCACGAAGGAGGAAACCATGGACAATTCTCCCCTGAAGACAACGATCTCCTTCTGTTCGTCTCCTCGCGATCAGCATTACTATCCCGACCAACCTTTCCCCGCCGACGAAATCTCAGCCTTCCTCCACCAATTCCTCCTCCTCCACCCCCAATCCTCCTTCTATCCGCCGCCGTTCACTCCCCAGGCTCAGTCGTTTTCGACTCCGGTCAACGCCGGGAGCTCTGTTCTCGACCCGGCCCGTGACCGACAATTCCCCAATAACCTGATCCATTTCGGCGGGAACATTGGTGATTTCAGCAACGGCGTCGGCGGGAACGAACCTCCCGATGGACGTGAAGCCGAAAGAGAGGTACTTTCCCAGTTCCCACTATCATTTCTTGCTTCCTCTGTTTTTTTGCTCTGTTTTTTATTAAACGAGGCAGGGGAAAATTTTAATTAGTTTCCCTGTTTGCAGGAAGCTCCGGCGGATGAGTTATTGCCACCGCCGAAGCCGCCTTCTAAAAGAACCCGTGCCGCCGAAGTCCACAACTTATCCGAAAAGGTCGGACGCCCATTTCTTCTTCTTCTCCTTATTCCTTCATTGTTTTGCGTCGTTTCAAATGGTGAAACTGATTTTGTTATTGATGACGGCATGGTGGAACAGAGGAGGAGAGGTAGAATTAACGAGAAGATGAAAGCCCTGCAGAAGCTCATCCCCAACTCCAACAAGGTAAAATTACGCACGGTAAAAATAAAAGATTCGATTTTTACAAAAAAAAAAAAAACCTGTTTCTCAGGAACTCTGTTTTTGGGTTGGAATTCAGACGGACAAGGCTTCAATGCTTGATGAAGCAATTGAGTACCTGAAGCAGCTCCAGCTCCAAGTCCAGGTTCATTTCTACTCTGTTCATCTTCTGTAATAGTTTTGTTGACACGTTTGGTTCCTAACTTATTGATTCTGTTATTGGGGGCATGCCATGATTGCTGCAGGTGCTGTCAATGAGAACTGGAGCGGCGGGGTTGCATCAAATGAGCCACAACAACATTGCCGAATCCTTCCTGCAGCAGCAAGCTCGTCAACCACTGCCTGCTTCTCGACTCGTGAAGGTCAAGGCAGAAGAAGCTGTTTCTCCGATGGATGAACAGAAATCCCCTGCTGCTGCAAATGGAGCGGTGATTAAGCTGGGGAGACAGAGCTCTGCTGCATCGAATGTAACCCATTCGATGATCCGTTCTTCCTACTACTGAGCTTGGTCTAGTAACTGCTCAGTTTGCTAGCGGAGATCGATGCAGAAGCCTTTTTTAAAGCTCAACATTTTGCTTCTGCGTTGCCATTGATGTTCTGTTTCAAAGCTTTAGTAGGGTTCTAATGTAGCTGCCTGTAGGTTGTGTTCTGCTTTTGTACATGGGTTTTCCCGTCCTTACATATAGAAGGCGAGGAAGACCTCTCTAGGAAGTGCTTGGGCTTCTCGACAAGGAAAAGGAAACATCACACGTGTGATCACGAGTTCTGCACCAGGTAATGCCAAAACACCATGAGTGGCATTTAGCAGAAGATTAGAGCAACATTAACCAGAAGAGGGTTGCTTCTTATACCTCATACCATGAGTAGTCATTTACTTTTTCTGTAATAGGAATGCCATCAATGGAATGGTTATCAAGCAGAAATCCCATATATTTGGAGAAGTGGATGTTGAAGCCGATCTAAACTGAACAGAGCCTGAAAAGGTTCCAGCTCCTCCTACTGGGCTTGACGACATGCTTCCTGCAGTATTCGTTACAGGACTTGTACTAGGTGTAGTAATATTTCTGCATGACCCGAAAGGTGCTCCAGCCTGCAATAATAAGGGAAGTTCATTGACTCACGAAGATGGGACATTGCTGGAACGATTAAAAAACATCAGGACCATATTGGATTGCTTAAGAGGTCCTTTGGAATTGGAAGTGGTATTTAACCAGAGGATTGTCGCCCCAATTCTTTCAACGGATGGAATGCAGAAAATCACTTGTTTGTTTAGGCGATCGAAGGTATTAGATATCCAACATTCCATCGGCGAAAGATTTGTAATTTCACCAACTGAAAGAATTGGCAGTGCCGCTTTTAGGCAAGTGAAAGCCCAATTTCTCACTTATTAGACATTTATGCGCTCATTACTTTAGGGAAAAGCAAAAGGATGGAGGACATCGCAAAATTGAATAAATCCCCCCATCAATATTCATCACTTCAATCACATCTACTTTCTAATTTGACCACCTAATACCACAATCCCACCTAGTCTCAAATCTTTCTATTATTGATCTACCTATTTCAATATCTCACTTCTGGATAAAATCAATATTCGCTGATGAAAACACAAACAAAAAAGTTATACACAAACCTGGCATGCGGCAAGAGTACTACAACCACACAATGTCGGGCCATTCATTCGATCCAGATCATCAAACACACCAGGACCATCACTCCGCTGCATCATTTGCACCTCAGTCAAGAATGCCAAACTAGAACTCTGATGAAAAGGGATTATTCTGTAATAAATTAAGGTAGAAGTTGGAAAAAAAGGTTATTACCATATAAAAATTGACAGCCAAGAAATTCGGCATAAGATTGCCAGCTGATTTGTAGCAAGTTCCAATCATCTGAGCAAGAGGAGCTGAATGTTCTTTGCAAGCATCGCTCTCAACTGGATAAGTGGGGAAGTAATTCATTAGGAAAAGAGATGCACTCTTCGAGTTCAATGGCTTAGATTCTTTCCTGTTTGGACATGAGCCTGGCTTTACTCCAGGATCTCCAGCTGAAACAATAAATGCATAGTAAACGTGACAGGAACATAAGAAAAAACAACAAACCAAGCAATATGAAAACACTTAATCTATGAATTTGAATCTCTTACACTCGTTTTCCACCATATACTTCCACTGATAAGCAACTCCTTCCTCTGCTTCCTTTGAAGCAACAGAAGTGAAAACCAGGAGACGCAAATTCTGTTGCACCATTTCGTTGACAGTAGGCCAATCATCACCCTTCCTCGGCATCTTGGAAACGGGGAACCAATACTTATCCAAACCAGCACGGGCAAAGAGATTGCTCAACCCTTTTGGAGTATGCACGTAGTCCTCGATTATAATGGTGATGATTTCAGATGGGTTTTGACTCAAGAATGCTTCTACTTCTTTTAAAGTGTTGATTGCAGGTTGCTGACCAAGAAACCAAATGGAAAGACATCAGAATATGACAAAAAGAGGTTTTCAACTTGATTCCAACTTGTTGAAATAAGAAGAGAGGGTATATTACGAAGGCTGTGAAGTTGTAACATTGCCCTCGGAATGAATGACAAAGCCAGATATCGCCATTGAACTCGTACATGTCCAGCATCAGTCCCCTTACACCATTCTAGCCAAAACAAACCAGGGGGAAAACGCACACCACTTAAGACAAAATACTAGTTCAAATCTCTATTCCATAACAAAATAGACAACTAAAAGAACCGGATTCCTACGAAACTTGCCCAAATGGCAATAATTAATTAAGTGCAAGAAAGGAATAGAAAATCCATAAAAACTCAGACTCCACTCCAACCCAAGAATTACTCAAGACACAAAATGGGGAACAAAGTCTACTTTCCTGAGAAACAAACGGGAAGCAAGAGAAAACTTGAAACAAACAAGGAAAAAGAGTAAAGACCAAGAATTGCATACCAAGAGCTGATTAGTAACAGAATCCTCCTGATTGTAAAACGTCAACCTCTGAACTCCAGGCAAAGGCGGCGAATCGACGATGCTGAAAGAATTATGAGTGACTAACCAAGTATACTTGTTAAAGGGTAATCCGCCAATCTGCACCCAAATGAAGGAAGATCCCCCCACAGCTTCAGTTCACACAAATACCAGGAACCCATCAAAGCGAAAACGAGGAACAGATACCGCGAAAAAAGCAAAAACATTACGATGGATGTGGGCACGGTAGCTTGGCCTCTGGTGCAGACGGGCTGATTCTTGCCCAAAGCAGGGCAGTTGCCACAATAAAGCCCTTGCCCGCAGCTGGCGGAAGGAGAACACGGGTCCAAAACCTGTTTGAAAGAATTCAGAGCAATGCCGGCGACGGGGGAAGTGAAATTCGACGGATCGTGAAGGGGAAAAAGTGCGGGAAATTGAAGGGGGGAGAAGGGTTTACCGCTGGGCGAGCAATTAGCACCGAGGAGATGAGCAGAGAAAATATGAGGTACCCAGCTGAAAGCTGCGGTCTGGGTCTGCAGCGGAGTGGGTGGTGCAGGAAACACGCAGACATTTTGGAGTGCCGATGCAGAGAAATGGAGAGCTCGAGAAGTGGGATGAAGGAAGGAAGGAAGGAAGGAAGAGAGAGCAGAAAGCGAGAGGGAGGTAGATAGACGGCCGAGAGAGTTGAGTTGAAGTGGGGACGTCATTTTTTGGGAGAGTAAAGGCGGGGGTTTGAGCGCACAGTAGCTTGCTTTAGTTTAATCCATTTTTGGTTCCAAAGCCTAATTAATTAACATCCTAATTGGGCGGAGTCTGAACCGATGGAGCACCTTTTTTAAGAGTGTTCAGTCGCTGCAGATTTCTGAGCTTATTCAGGCTTGGAACACCTGGGTCATGGTTTGCCGAGACAGACTTTTCCGTTTTTTTTCGAGAAACGTTTGCATCGGATGACTCACCCGGCTCAAATCATGGCTCTGGTGACCCTCTTGTGACGTATTTGGAAATCTCGTAACTTGGCTGTCTTTGAGGGCAAGAAGGTTACTTTGATTTGGAAATTGGTTGAGTTGAACTCGCGAGTTTGCTCATGTTGAGCTCGTGGTCAAGCTGACTCGACAATTTAGTTAGCCAACCAACTCTACTACCCGCTTAGAATGGTGGTAAAAAATTATATAACTTATTCGAAATGATATCGACAACTAGATCGACAAAACCACCTTGACAACTACGACTTAACGGGATGAGAACTTAGCCTCTTTACGTCTAGCCTCGTAGACCAAGCCTCATGAAACTTATTTATTACATCTTAAAAAACGGGCGGCACCTTTTCTATACTCTTCCTCCCGATCCCAAATTCGCCATCACAGATTCAATCTGCTCGAATTTTGCTGCCACGCATGATGTATGACGGCGGCAGTTGCAACGGGCAGAAGTTGGCGACCGGATTTCCGCCGTATTCCCCGGCCCGCCGGCGCCGGCCACTCTAATCAGCCATACCACAAAGGACATCTACGGCTCGACTTCACCTACCAGTTGACTTCGCCGGTGTCCTTAGCCTCGTAACTCTCGGAGCAAGAGTCAATATTGCGGCTGCCACTAAAAGTCCATTTCACGTTTGAACCCTTTTCAAATTATGTGCCGGTTTCAGATTATGGAAATAGTGGAAAACAGCAATGATACCTTTAAACCATAGAAGAAAAAAAAAATTAAAAAGAATAACTCTGCTCGAGATCGTAACAAGCGAAAACTTGATGATGGGGGAAGGGTTCGGTTAAATTCGTTACAAACCGAAACCTGAATGAGCCAACGGCTGAAAATCGACTTCAAAATCGTTAAAATTTTGTCGATTTTCAATTAACTGAAAACCGATATGCCCTTAACGAATTCGGTTTAGTCATAATAAACGAGAAACCAAAAACGAACCTTTAACTACATTCTACCAACAGTTTCTGGTTTAACCGAAACCGAGAAACCACTCCAAATGGTAAGTGGTAACTATCAGAATTACCGTGCTTGTGACTGTGACCCCATCTCCAATTCACATTAAGGGGTCGTTTGCTTCGTGGATTTGAAAAATGAAGGTTTTGGAAAAACTTTGATTTTGTAAAACCATAGATATATGAAGGTTTTGGGTTCATCATAGACTTGAAAAATACCATTGTTTGTTTCATAGATTTCATGATGGAATTAGTTAATTAGATTTGTATGCATGAAGTGAAATTTACATTTATTGCCCTCATTGGTATGAGAAGAGAAATGAAATAGGAGGGGTAGTTTGGTCTTAAATGATGGACTACAAAGTCCATGATCAATTCCCACCTAAATACTAAAATAGGTGGAACTTTCAAGTCCGTGGGGTCCACGGATTTGTTGCCCTAAATGCATCGAGCAAACAATGAATTTTAGAAAAATCCATGATGGATCCAAATCCCTCACCAAATCCATGAAGCAAACAAGGATGGATCGCGCCTATAACCCATTTGAATCCTCTAATGCTAAAAAAAATTCCAACTACGAAGAAAGATTCAGATTCACAATGGGATTGGTAATATTGGATAGTTCAACATGCAGACACACACCATTATGCCTTCTAACAAAATTTGCAGCTCCCACAAAAGAAAATTCTGACATACGATAAGCTTAAAAAAGAAAGAACGGGCAGACAATTATGGGATGCAAAAGAAGGCGAAGATACTAAAAGCTGCAAAAGATTGCATTTCGTAAAGCGTCTGAAACGAAAGAGAGAAGAGAAAAAGCACTGAAAAGAATGTTAGATAGAAAAGTAGACAGGCCCTCCTCCCGCACCAAAATGCTTTCCTTTTACATGAGAAAATCTGTGCAAGTTAGATCGGTGGTGGCATCAATTAACTAACCTCATTCTTCATTTCTCTACGCTTTTTTCTGCTGTATTGGATGCAATGGCTCGACCTGGGCGTAAATGCCGACGCAGGAGAACACGAAATACACAAAATGATGCAGCAGTCAGTTAAGCTGGCAAGAGAGAGAGACAGCAATGGCCTGAATCCCACAAATGGTTAGAACCCTACGCCTTCAGAGCTGTAAAAAGAATGAACGAAATTGTGAGTCTGAGATTCTTTCAGGCCAGCTTTTTGGCACGGCCACCTGGGTGCGAGGCCTCTTCCTTTTTCGATCCTGATGCTTCGGGCTTCCTTGCCCAAGCAGGAGCTCGGTCTGGTTCATAACGGTAATCATAGAAAAGCTCCTCCCCGGAGTTGATTCTTTCTTTGGCAAATATGCCAACTCGGTGATCTCCTGCAACCATAATCACCTGCACCATCCCAAAATGCTCCGAATTGGAACAAAAAAGAAAGAAAGAGTGGTGCCGAGCAATGAAGCAGCATTACTTGACAATATTTGAATTGATAAGTGGGTTTTCTGGGAACCTTTGCATAGCAGTTTGGATCAGGAGAATGGTTGGCAAACTTCAACTTGTCACCCTTCCGGTAAGCATCAAGGACAAACTGCATATCAACAAAAGCATGGAGTCACGTAATTGAAGAGGAAAGGAAGAGGCATTGTCCTCCATGCATCCTAAAGTTGGGTAAAAAAGTAGAATCCATCCTGCCTGATCATTCAAATTGAAGAGGAATGATGAGTTTTCGCGGTCGTAAATCTTGCCACGCTTGTCTGCTTCCCTATGTGATATCAGCTCTCCCGTGTATTCACCTAGGTACTCATGTTTACCCACGCTTTTCTGGAGGCCAGCAATAACTTTTAAACATCAGTAACAAGGAATCAACGACTTCATCAGAATGATGAAATAACCAATAGTACCTTCAAAAAAGCTCCCCATCCGGATACATCAGATTTTCCAAGTAAAACCTGAACATAAACAGCATCGAGTAAGAGAGTTTCTTAACAAAGAAACATTCAGTTGCAAAGACAACTTCAGAAAGAATAAACAGAAACAAAAACCAACCGTCTAGCTACTATTGTGGGTTCACTCCTTCAGAATAGTAAAACTAATAAATACTTTGGAATTATGATTATTGGATTGATCTAAGGCAAACTTTAGATAGTATGGAAGATTTCAAAAGATGTCCACATGTTTATATATAATAAAAGCTATTAACTAGGAAAAGCATAGAGGAAAATATGGATACCCTTTGCTGTTGTTTGAGAAGAAGCTTCATGTTCCTGCATTCATAATTGTCGCCCCTTTGATTAGGCACACCAAGTGAGCCATCGCCACAACTGCAATCAAATGTCAAATAGTCAAAGGGAGGAAGACACAATAAAAGAATAGAAGAGAGGATCATTATATATTCTAGAAAAAAGAGGTGCAAACTACTTTTTGTAGGGTGATGGTAAGATATGTCACAATGTTGAGAAAAATAGACACATTACAATATGAAAAATAATCATTGAAGACTAAAGAATAACAACTCACCTAACCCAACAATTCCGACAAACATCTGGATCACATTCCCTGTCTGCAGCAAAGCAAGGGCATTGACGGCTTCGACATTGACTCTTGGCACAATGACAGCCCCGGAAGCGATTTTTGCAAGTTTTAGGACATCTAGAAAAATAGGTAGTTTTGAGAAATGAACAAAAGGAAAAGAGTAATTGTTAGTTTTGAGTTCATTTAAGCTTCATAAATACTATGACCATGCATCTTGCTCATTGGTATGGATACAACGCCAAACTAACGAAACACACCAAATTACCTTGCCTTTGAACTTATCTTATAGTGAAATATAATTTAAAATGTTTTCACCTTGCATGGGCACTCCTCAAAGATATATCATATATGACTTAGAGATTAGGAAAAAGTCTCACCCACAATACTTCTCACAGCATGTGCCGTTCAAATGGCATGGGCACTCCTTTCCACAAGCTGTTTGGCAGTTACAAGGATTGTATTGGCGGCATGGTTGATCTTTTCTCTCACTTATCCGTTTCCTAATAGAATGGTAGGCTGTAGACTTCCAAGAATACTTCAAGCGACGAACTCTACCCCTTCTGCGCAAAAACCTTGATCTTCTCCTAACTTCATTATTGCCTTGATCAAACTTGGAATAGCCGTCACCAAGACAATTTGCAGCATCACCTGCTTGGTAGGCTAGCCGTTTATCTGCTTGTCTCATGAATTGAAAAACTTCCACACATGTCTTCAAACCATTTAACAGGTTCCTAGCAATTAGACAGCTGCCACCAAGAACAAAACCAGTTACATTAAGCACGTCACAAACCCTGACAGCATAACCATCATGCAATGAAAATTCACACAGATACTTGATTTCCTTTAAACAAAAGGGAAGACACATCGGTAGAAAAAATTTCGTGGAAGTAAAGCTAAATAACCATCACATACCTATTTTTGCCAAAGATCTCCACGCCTTTCTCAAAAAGACTTTTCTCAAAAGCTTTCCAAGACAGGTTATCATTCAATTCCATTTTACGACTGTTTCCATCAGCATAATCATCTTTTCTCAACGTAACATCACTGCTACTTCCAGGTGGATCGGCAACCATCGCACTTGATATACCATCACGAGCTACACCTTGCACATTCTGAACAGAGAGCTCTGTTTTCCTAGACCTTGATTTTGAATTTTTCTGGGAAGAAGAATTGGCATCTTCATTTTCTCTGTGTGGACTACTGCTAAGTTTTGCATCACCTCCCAAAAGACCTCCACTAGCAACAGAATCTGACTCAGATCCTATCAACTTCTGCCTTTTTTTAATGCAACTCAAAACACG